GTAACTCTTCGTTTTCTTGGTGTCTGTTTCTAATTAAGCCATTAAAAGTACAGCAATTCTTGCAGAAAAGTAAAGTGTTGATATCCAAAATGCATCTCTGCTGTCAACTCCTAATGTTGCCATAGTGAAAGAAGGGGGGGAGAGCATTCCACACATACTGTCGGCTGAAGTCGGATATCAGATTACTGCAGCAGGCTTGGGAGGGGTGCACCTCATTGGGGAATGTGATTTATGACACAGACTGAGGGGAGGGAAGGAACAGGGGTAAAGTTCAGCTATAATTCAAACAAAGCTTAGCTCTGACTGTGAAAAGGCTTTGCCTAATGGTGCTCCTAATAAATGACTAGTTTTGTATTGAAACTTGGCTCGATATTCATGAATCAATTAGGGCATTTTTAGGAAACCTGACAGCTGGTTTGTGATCCTGACCAAGCCAAAGTGCCACTTTCCTTCTGTGTCCAAAGCACTTCTCACCCCATATAACAAAAAATATCTTACTGAATTACAGGTAGTCCTCGACCTACAACAATTCATTTAGTGGCCGGTCAAAGTAACAGCAGCACTGAAAAAAGTGACATAACCATTGTTCACATTTATGACCATTGCAGCAACTCCCCCCCCCCATCGTCACATGATCAAAATTGAGACTCTTGGCAACTGGTTCATGTTTATGACGTTTGTTGTGTTCCGGGGTCCCGCGATTCCCCTTTTGCAACATTCTGACCAGCAAATCAATGAGGAAGCCAGATTCATTTAACAACCAGGTTGCCAACTTAACAACGGCAATGAAATTCACTTAACAATTGTGGCAAGAAAAGATGTAAAATGGAGCAAAACATTTCAGCAAATGTCTCACTTAGCAACATACGTTTGGGGATGAATTGTCGTCAGTCGAGAAATACTCAGGGATGGGCTTCTGAGGGTTTGCAGGGGTTCAAGAGACTCTCTAGCTAAGATTCTGTGCAGTTCACAGAATCCCCCCCAAATCCCACTCCTAGCTGGCCCTGCCCCACCAGCCCCTCTCAGGAGGCCTCATATGGCCCTTTTTGCATGCAGGTAAATGCAGGGCACATGTGGAGGCTCGAGGAGGGTGAAAAACAGGCCTACCTGAAGTTTGGGAAGGGCGGAAATGGGCCGTTTCCAGCCTCCGGACCCTGGGGAGGCTGTTTTTGCCCTCCCAGAGGCTCGAGGGAAGCCCTCCAGGGGGGGCAAAAACTCCTCCCCCAACCGCCATGGTGCAGGAAGCCGACTAGGCTACACACACCATGGCCACGCCAGTGGTGAGTTTCAAAAATTGTTCGAACCTACTCTGTGGGTGTGGCCTCCTTTGTGGGAGTGGCTTGCCCCCCATGTGACCGGATGGGAGTGGCTTGCCCCCCATGTGACCAGATATGAAGATGCTGACGACGTCAGAACCACCTTAAATTACCTCACACACAGCACTGGCATGCGTAAGAATATGATGTAAACTTGTTTTTTAAAAGCCATCTTTGGTTTGCGTAAAAACAACTTCAACACACGCAATGTTCTGATTGTAACACAAACGCAGTAGTCATCCTTACCTTTCACAGAGGCACTGAGTTATAAATATGAGCATGATAGTGTAGAATAATCATATCCAAGGACCAGTGGTGGGTTTCAAAAAATTTGGGAACCTCTTNCTTTCAGATAGAGTCGGATCTCAGATTACTGCAGCAGGCTTGGGAGGGGTGCACCTCATTGGGGAATGTGATTTATGACACAGACTGAGGGGAGGTAAGGAACAGGGGTAAAGTTCAGCTATAATTCAAACAAAGCTCAGATCTGATTGCAAAAAGGCCTCACCTAATGGTGCTCCTAATAAATGACTAGTTTTGTATTGAAATTTGGCTCGATACTCATGAATCTTTTTTTTTTTGGCATTTTTAGGAAACCTGACAACATGCTCTTGGAGACAGAAACTCAGAGCCTCAGCTCCCAACCAATAGAATACATTTTTGCACAGGAACAGGAAGCTCAAGGGCAAGGCCCAAGAGAGGGTATAAATACATCTCTCTCTCCACTCTATGTGTTCAGCTGCCCAGGACCTCAAACCCATGTGGTCCTGTCCATCAATAAATCATCTTTCCAATCAGCTTCCATGTTTCCAGTGTCTTTCTCCCAACTTGGAACTGAACCAGATGGATATTTCTTCCAACAATTTCTAGAAATTAAAAGAACCTATAAAGATCTGTTTCTGCCTGAAGCAATGCTCCAAACTATTCTGGTCCCACAATCCAGAGATTGAACTAATGTTCACAAGAAATGGGATTAGATCAGCTGGCTCAGATCCTGCCCTGCTTTCCTGAACTGTTCTCGCCCCTTTTCTCTTTACCTCTCCCCCAAAACCTGGCACGCTGCTCCCCATCATTACCTGCACACCACTCCCAGTCTTCAGGCTATTAATTCAGCAATGCTCCATCACTTCTGAACACAAAAAGATCCAAGGAGCTCCCTGATGCTTCTCCACCCAATCATCAGAGTGCTGGCAGTGGAGATGTCTGCATGCAATTTAATAACTTTCAGCCTTTCCTGGCAGAGAAATGGAAACCGAAAGTGATTCTGGTGGTGGAAAATGAAAACAGAAATAAGAACGAGGTGGCCACAAATGCCAAGAACTGTAAAATCTGGGGGCGAGGTCTTTGTTTTATTCAGGGGGAAAGTGAGGAGGACTGAAATTCTGCTTGAGCAGAATGCCTACAGCTTAAACTCAAGGTGTAAGCTTCAGGGATGTTAAGTGGGAGTTACCCCTAAGTAAGTACTGGTATATGAAAAGCATTGGAAGCCCCAAAGTGTGATCCTATTCACCACGAGACTTTCTGCTGGGAAAATACCACCCATACAGAAGCATCCTAATATAATGAGTGTTCAGGTTTATCTTGACCTGACCCAAAAGCCAGATCTGTCTATTGCTGAAACATCTGAAACACACAGACCAAAACAGATTTCTACCAAAAGGACAGATAAAAAAAAATGTTCTGACCCCCTCCTCCGTCCAGTAACGAAAGCCGAGACAAGCNCCCTCCCAGAGGATATAAAAGAGGAGCAAAAGGAGAGTGGAGTTTGCAGGAGACAATTAGTTTGCTTAATTGGTTCATGACTCTGAGATTCCTTGCCAAGTTTTGCAGATATCTGCCTGGCAGCTCTCCAAGCCAGATAAGGTCTGTGACTGTAAATCCTCCCTCGAAAGATTTGGTTGGATGTGAATAAACAGAATTCACAGTAAATTAATCAAAGGGGGTTTTGTCAGGACCAGGAGTTTGCTTCATGCTCTTGGGGAGCCTCAGTCAGAACAATATGGTATATTTTCAGAATGGTTCCATTTTTCCAATAGAAGAGAATATTTGTAGCTCAGGGTTGAAATGACATGTCCTTGGTGCTCTCTAAGCTTGGCTGTTTTCTTACTGATGTTTCACTGCCCAAACACTACCACGCACTGATGCCGTTACCTAGTTTGGGTAACGAGAGGTCTGCAGGAAAAAAAACAATGCTCAAAGAGCACCAAGGACTCCTCATTTCTTGGTCCACCGATAGGTAGGGCCAACAAATGTACAAATCTGGCTATCTCCTTACTCTGGTGATCGTTCAGCATAGTGGCAACAAAATAATGCGCCAAAGCTCTGAAATGATCCGATTTGACTTCGGCCAGCTTTGACCAGGAGTAAGGGATGTTCTCCTTGACTGGCGCTTGACTCATCGCGGTGTCCACAAGCATGTACATCTCTCCAACCTTAAAACAAAGCAGAAGAGAAGTATGAGCTACCGACTCTACATATTAAAAGCTCACTCAAAGGCACTCAGTATTGGCGCTGATCAACAGTTATTGGAGTCTTTACTTAAAGATGCACATTGTTCTCACAAAGGATAAAAGAAAGAGAAAGAACTTTAGCAATAATGACAGACGATCTTGTTTTCCTCACAGACGAATCTAAAAGGCCTAGAATAACTTCTGGAAAGAAAAGAGCCTTTCTAAGCCTCCACTGCTGAAACAAGCTTTGGTCTTTTGATTCACCATGGAGGGGAGGTTCATTAGAGCAGGGGTCACCAACCTTTTGGACCTCAGGAACCACTAAATTCATATTTTTAAATCCTACGGACCACTAATACAAATTAGTGATGGCATGGGGTCCTTCAGGTACTTAACTTGGCCGCCTATTAGCGGAGAGAAGCACCCAGGGTCAACCCTAGCTTTGCAGCTAGGAATCTCAAATACGGCCAAGAATGAATGTTTGTCTTGTAGCCAACTCGGGTGCTAGATCAGCCCCTGCAAACTCCGTTTCTCAAGGAGTCCGGCTGAAGTTTCGCGCACCACTCCCTGAAGCACCTGGACTCCCAGGGAGGCAGGGAAGGGCTGGAGCTACTAAACAGGTGGCCAAGCTAAGTGCCTGAAGGACCCTGTCAGCTAGCGGGAATAATTGCTTTGGTGGGACCTATCGGCCCAGGGGCCGCAGTTTGAGAATCCCTAATTTAGTGCAATATAAAAAACACAAAAATGCAAAGATTTTTCTGCGGACCACCAAAATTTTCTTGCAGACCACCAGCTAGAGCACCACTGCATTAGAGCGTTACAAGACACTCTTCTGCCTCCCTAGCATCCCATAATAGGAAAAGCGCCATTTCTTTTGATTCTTGGAGGGCTATTTCACAGGGAATCGTCGTATTGTCCCGATGTCAGCAAACAATAAAGGCAGGCGTACCACTCTGCTCTCACGCGGCTTACCTTCGCAACTTCCTGGGCCATTTTTATAAGGGTGAAAAATTCATTCCGTATCCCAGGAAGGCAGATCTGTTCAAAGATGCACTCCTGAGCTTGAGCGAGCATCATCTTGACCAGCACACTCAACATGGCAGGGCTCATGTCATAACTTGGAGTGTGAGTAAAAGTTTCTTTTAGATAGTTTAGAACACCTGAAATTGGGGAAGAAGCAGAAAAGAGGATTCATGGAGCATCAGTTCCGCAATCTCAGGGAAACACAATGGTAGCTGCATTTAGCCATTCATTTCTCATTCTTTAGATTAGATGTACACGTTTGGGTCACCCAACTGTTATTGAGGTGATATGCCTTGGCAATCCCTGCAGCCTTGAAAGGGTCTCAAACGGAACGTTTGGACGCTGAAAACACGAAGCGCGGAGCCCAAAATGGTAACCCAGAACAGCTGCTTCCTTGTCTTACGGCTTTCGCACTTTGCCTGCTTAACTCACTGGATCTCCCTCCAACGATCAGCTGTGCTTTTGAAGCTGTTTACCAGCCTCAACCAGGCGCGTGCTCACAACCAGCGAACTAATGTGCTGAAGCTGACCAGGCTAAGGATGCTAGCGAGATGAATAACTGGTAGTCAGATTTTTTTCTTCTTATTTTCCTCCCCAAAAACTAAGGTGCATCTTATACTCCAGAGCGTCTTATACTCCGAAAAATATGGTAATTCAGTTGACATGTGCTCTTGGTTTCCAATGAGTCACACCTTACTCTAAGAAAGCATCAAAGGAATCAAAAACAAGGCAAATAATGTTGGTAGATAAGTTCTAAGATATTTCCCTCCTTATCTCACTAGCATGCCGTGTTTATTATTCATGTTATGAATAATAAGAGGAAGTTTAGAGTCCAAAGAGGCCAGAATATGTGTGTGAAGATCTCAATGATTTTCAAATTCTTTGAAAGCAATTGCCAAGGTTCCAGTCCTGATTAAGAAAGATGGGGATCACATCTCTTTATTTTTTTAAATCTATAATCTCTATTACGAAGCTGGCGGAATGACTTTCCTCCTGATCCTCTCATTCCACCTAGTTTCACTTCCAAGATTGAGTAGCAATCATTTGTATGTATGTATGTATGTATATGTGTGTGTGTGTGTGTATATATATATATATATATATATATATATATATATATATATATATA